GGTGCAGGAGAGGAAGGCCCTCTATGAGGTGGATTGATTCAGTGACTGGGATAATTGGGATGGGAGTGTCAGAGACAGTGCGATTGGCACAGGACAGGGCGGAGTTTAGGGCTGTTGTACATAGGGTCGGTGTGAGTCGCAGGCGACTCGATGGCACATAACAACAACAACAGTTTGGAGTTAATGCTCTTCATACCTAAATTCACTGTAAATAATAAATTGATGGAGATAAGTTTCTATATATCAGAACTAACTATAAAGAAATAACATTTAGTCTATAAAATGATTTTTCATGACATTTTTACTGCATATTTATACTGCAGTCTTTATGAAGACTGCCATTTTTCAGGGTGAACTGACTCACGTTTTATCCAGGCTTTTCTCATTCCTGATTGTTCAGAGCTCCATGGTCGTCACTATGAGTTGTACTCATCTTGACAGCACCTAACAACAACAGTATGGGTACTGTGATTAACAACAGCAACGTGGATGACGTAATTATGGAGTGTTTTTTCACTTCTAAATTTTATTTCATACATGATTCTATTTTTTAATTAATTATAATGTGAAAAGTTATTGTGGGTGAGACTATAAAATATATTTAAAGAAAAGTATTTTTGACTTAATAATCAGTTGAGTCAGTAGGCAGGCTAAAAGTCTGAAATTTCTATACCACTTACTGATTATCCCTGCCCACACTTTTGTTCACATTACAGCCCATTGTTTGGACCCTGAGGGAGTGTTTAAACAGAAAACTTTACCATTTCTTACCTTGCGTTTACATGTGCAGATCCTTGTTCATTTTGCATACTAGCAATTTATTAGTTAATAATTCAAATGTAATTCATGTTTTACTTACATGACAAATGCAACAAATCCTAAATTTTTTATACTCTATTATGAACTAAAAATATATTAGTTGCATAATTTTTCACTAAACATGTAATGTTGTCTACCTAGTTTACTTGTCTGAAAACCTTCCACTTTGGTTTCTAGGCAATCTGAGTACGGCGGTGTGGTGTTTGGTGGTTGGGCACGAATGGCCCAGCCTATTGTGGCTTTCACCATAGTTGAAGTTGCCAAACCCAACATAGGCGAAAACTGGCCAACCCGAGTTCGTGCTGATGTTACCATCAATCTGAATGTCAGAGATCACATCAAAGATGAGTGGGAAGGTAATTTTGTACTTAGTGAAGTTACCTTTTGGGTTTTTTTTTAACCCCCTGCAAATAGTCTCTTTAATGTGCTCAAAAACCAAGATGCCGCTTTGATGACTAAGGTGCACCTGACCCATGTCATGATATTTACAATTGCTTCAAAAAGTTGGACAGTGAAAAAGGAAAAACCAATGCATTTAAATTGGCAAGCAGTACTGAATATACCACTGACTGCCGGAAGAATGAATTAGCTGTTCTTGGTGAAAGCACAGCCAGAGTGCCCCTTTGAAGGGAGGATGGAAAGATTTCCTCTCTCTGGACACTGCTTTCAGGAAGGACCAGCTCCTGGAGAATGACATCATATTCTTGGTAAAGCAGAAAGTATTCAAAAAGAGGGGAAGGGCCTCAACGAAACAGAATGGCACAAAGGCCATAACAGTGAGTGCAGGCATGTCATCTGCTGTGTGGATGGTACAGGACCAGGCAACATTTGTTCTGTTCTACTCACAGAATCATGTGTCGGAGCTGACTTCGTGGCGCTCAACAACAGACAATCTACTATATTTTTAAACCACATAGGCAGCATCCATTTTTGTAATTGACTTGATTACTTAATATTTCCTGTCCAAAATATTTAAGAGTAAAGTTTCTTTTAATAGTTACTCTGAAGTACCCAAGGTAGTTTTCTACATCTTTCTCCTTCATAAAGAGAGAATAACTCATGAGTCTTTGCTTTTGAGAAGTAGCCTACTCATAGCTGCCCCTGCAGTGGGTTTCCAGAGGCTGTCACACAGGAGGAGACTGCCCATCTTTATCCTGTGGACCAGCTGGTGGATTCAAATCAGTCACCTTGTGTTGAGCGGTGCAACTCCTTACCAACTAGGCCACCAGAATCTCCTTCAGGATCCCCTCATCTTCACCAAAAATGGGTAGCAGAATTCCTTGGGTGAAGCCTCTGGATAGAGCTGGCTCCGCAGCACCTCCTCCATGATGCCCGGGTATGCATGGAAAGTGTCCAGGACCCTTTAGCTTTCTTTTTTTTTT